AAAAACCCACAAGTGAAGATGAGAATTAATTGAGATTAATGAACTAAAATTAGGAGACAAGTTTGTAGTTATAACATGATTTATGTTTGAATATTTTTTTTTTGAAAAAACTCAATTAAATAAAATAAAATTTATTTAGGTGATTGTCTCAAAAACTAGTTTAGATGTGTAATAATAAAAAATGACATGGATTTGATAATATATATTTTTGTGACTCATTTGAATTTTTAGAAAAAATAATAAATTTTAAATTACAATTTTCATAAATCTATATATAATTAAGTATTATTTGTAAAATATAAAACATATTAAATAAATTAATAAATAAGATAAAATTTTTAAAAAATAAAATAATTAAAAAAGTTATTGAAAATCATCATTTATAATTATTAAAAAGACAAAAAGATTTATATATTTCATATAATGTATATAATTAATTACATTTAATAAATTTTTTTAGACAAGAGTAAAGAATAAAGACAATTACATATTATAAAGAGTAAAAAACATAGTGAAGGATTAAACTGTAACCAGCTCAAAGAAAAAAATAATAAGAGAAGAAGAAAAGAGGTAACATAGAACCTAACGCTAACACTGTAAGCTAGTTCCTCCAGCTTTTATGTTTACTGAAATTTTGGGAGCAAAAGCTATTCTTAAAATTTTTTAAATCAAACAAGATTTGAATGAGATTTCAGATTTAAACTGAGGTTTGGCTCCCAAATCCTAGTTTGAATTTAATTCAAACATGCACTGAGTGACAGACTCACAGTCACAGTACATGTTCACCTGATTTTTTTTGTCCATCGTGATCCATGAAGAATATATCCTTCTCTTACCGGCTATTCATTTTGCCACGGATCGAAAATTTCTGAATTATTAATGTCAACTCAATCAAGTGGACAAACGGCGAAAACAAACGGCTCAGATTCCCTCCATGAACGAACGACCGTGGTTTATTAGACGGCAAAAAGAAAGGGACCAAGTGTAATGCGTCGTCTTGCACGAAACGGTGCGTTTTACATCAAGCATGGGCATAATGCAAATTGCAACGTCGCGGATCCCATTTACTCGCGAGTGAAGTCTCATGGTCGCGATCTCACGATTTAGTACCCGTCCCCCTAAAGCCCCTAAACAAAAAATAAGGGATAGGGTAGGTAGAGAATAAACCTTGCCTCCCCACACCCCCCCCCCCCCACAAGAAGTTGTAGATTACTTGGTTAAGAAAATGGATATTGATTTTGGGTTTTGGGTTGAGTCTAAAAAAGAGAATGAACTCTCTTAATGTAATAACTTTTTTAAGAAATAGGGTTGGTTACGGGGGGGAAACAATGAGAACCACGACATTATTGAAAAAAAACTATATTTGAAGGATATCGATTCATTTATCTACTTAAATTAAAACATAGCAGACAATCATCAATGTCTCACAATATTGTTATCAGACTCTTGAGTTAGTTTTTTAAATTTATTATTTTTATATTTTTAACTTATAAAATCATGTTAATTTATTAATAAATTTGAATTAGATAAAATTTGATTAAATTTGCAAGTTGACTCTCTAGTTTACTATTTTTATATTTTTAATTTATAAAATCATGTCGATCTATTCATAAATTTGTGGAGCAAGATAGACATATAATAGAATTTGGTTCACAAAAGCAGCAGAATCTAGTTCAATAAAAAATAAAACTAAAAAAAAAGCTAATATTAATAAAAAAGAAAACAAAAATTACCAAAAATAAGTTGTCATATTTTAAAATTTTTATGTTGAATATAATAATCTATAAATGTAAATGAATTTAATTTCAGTGATTTACATTTAAAACATATTTAAATTAAATTATGATCATATTTTATATTTTAATTATTTAATTATATATTTTTAAAATTTATTTATTAATAGAAAAAAATCTTACAAATTTACAACACACATTTATATTTTGAATTTACATCTCTTATCATAAATTTGCTCAAACATGCAAGTTTAATAACTTTGTCTCAAAAAAATGACTTTTATTATGTTTAAAAGCATTTTTTGCAAGGGAGGGAACCATAATATCCTTTGCTTATCATTCTACTGGGCCTGGAGTACTCAATCATTAATCTACACAATCAAAATTAATTTAACTTATATATATATATATATATATCCATATTTAATTTATTTTCTATACTAATAAATAAAATTTTATTTTACTATATATAAATTATAAAATAAAAATACTTTTAACTTGGATTTTTAAAATAAATTTATCATTTAAAAAATTACAGATTAAAACCGTTAAACTAAAACCGTTAAAAAAAAAACCGCTTAAAAGATTACCTTTGAATAGCTCACATTGATGAGAAGTAGGAGATGTGAGTAGGGGTGAGCAAAACCAAACCGAAACCGAAAATCGAACCGAATCGAATCAAATTTTGTCTATTTGATTCGGTCTATTTGATTTTTCGGTTCGATTCGATTTTTTTATTTTAAATATTTCGGTTGATCGGTTCGATTCGGTTAGTAAAATTTAAAATCGAATAGACCGAACCGACCGAATTACATATAATTTATTAATTTATAAATTATATTTAATTTATAAATTATTTTATTTTTATTTTTATTTTTTATTTTAATAAAGAATAAAAAATAATAACATCACTTGAAACCCCAATTCAATCAGTCACTCTCATCAGTAGGTATTGTGACTGGATTATGAGGCTATTATTTGATCATCGATGTTTATTTATGGTTGTTTATTTGATTATCCATGCCTTTATAATATTTGGACTTTATGTCATATGGGTATAATTATAATGGGCTCATATTAAAAAAACGAATAGAAAAAAAGGCCCAATTTTATAGTGTTGTTTGTTTTAATATTTAAAAAATAAGCCCAAACCGAAAAATTGAATTAACCGACCGAACCGAATTATCAAATTTCGGTTCGGTCCTTGTTCGGTTCAATTGGCTTATTCGGTTCGATTCGGTTTTCATTTTCAGTGTTATTCGATCGATCGATTCTGCATATTTTAAAACCGAACCGAATCGAACCGACCGATGCTCACCCCTAGATGTGAGCGGTTCCTCAGGAGTCAGGGCTGATCAAAGCGTGGACTCAACTGTGTCGCACTGTCGACAAAATTTACCAAATCTGACTTCGTTAAGTTTTGTCCAAGGACCGTCAACTATAGATGATCCGACACTTGCCATCGTGTTTTCCCCCATTTGGATTTATTTGTTTTCCGGTGTGCGCACATGAATCAATTTCCTTTGGAAAATAGGAAAATAATCAAAATATCACCAAAGGATTATTGGAAATATTTTATATGTGAAGAATTTTAAAATTTTAATTTTTCATTGCACCTCTATAATCTTTATTTAAAAATAAAATTTTATAAAAAATGATTAAATTACTCTTACAGCTTAAAATGACAAGAATCAATTTTGCATAAATAAATTACACAAATTTTGACAACAATCAATTTATGATTAACAACTCATTTAAAATTCAACAAAATTAACAACATAATTTTAATGATACAAGTATTTACCCTATATAAATAACAAGATATCCATGTTTTGATAACAATAAATTTGTGATTAAGAACAACACATTAAAATTTAAACAAGATTGAAAAAATGATAATACAAATTTAATAGAATAAGTGTTCATCCTATATAAATAATAAGTTATTTGAGTTTTAACAACAATCAGTTCGTAGTTGACAACAATATATTTAAAATTTAATAAGATTGAAAAACTAACAACACTAGTTTAATAGAATAAGTGTTCATCTTACATAAATAATAAGCTATTCAAACTTTAACAATAATTAATTCATAATTAATAACAATACTTACAGAATTTAACAAGATTAAAAAAATTGATAGCATGTGTGTTAATGGGATAAGTGTTCACCCTACATAAACAATAAAAAATTTAAATTTGGGCAATAACTAATTAATGATTGATAACAACATATTCATACTTTAACAGAATTGAAAAATTGATAGCACGAGTTTAATATAACAAATATTTATTCTACATAAATAACAAGCTATTTAGACTTTGATCATAACTAATTCATGATCAATAATAACAATACATTCATACGTTAATAACTAATTTCTGTTTAGTCGTTTCTTTCATTAAAATGAGCAATTGAGTCATTTTTTATAAAAATTTATTTTCGACTAAGAATTAAGAAGGTGCAATGAAAAATTAAAATCTTAACATCCTTCTTTAATATAAAATACCTCTAATGGTGCTCACGTGATATTTTCCCTTGGAAAATTTACGGCGTGTATGTAATTCGCGTTGTAACTAGTTTTTTTTTTTTTTAATTCTGTTTAATAACCCTGGCAAACTGCTATATGTTTTAGGCAAATATGCGTGATCGCCCAATCATCAAGATCCATAAATCGATCGCCACCAACCTCACGACCCCTTATTTTAAAAAAAAATTCCATAACCATCCGCAGTCGACCATGATCTCATTCGTTATTGTCCTCGCCCTCACTCAACCACAGCTCCGCTTAACAATAATTCATCACTGCGTTTGGTTGGTTAAAGTAAACACATCCAGAATCAGTACACAAAAACAACTTCAATATTTACTAGGAGTCTACTACTCAACTATACTTATTTTCATTACTCTCCATATTAGAGCGTGAACATCATTTTTCTCCCTTATTCTCATGTGCGATAGTAAACGATATGTGTGTGTATCTTTCTATTATCTTGCTATTTATTCATATATTATTTGCATGAATGAAACAAATGTTACATTGCTCCTGCTCCTTTGGAAGCCATAAAGATATATTTGGCACGGTAGTTACGCATATATATGAACTCCTTTAGCTAATTAAAATTACCTTGCCAGAAGTTTACTTATCAAATTTGTTCAATTTAACATCTCTTTAACTGATTTTTATTTTTTTTCCCCCTTTTCAATGTGCCTGATTTGCAAATTATAAACAATTTACAGTGTTTAAACAAAAGATAGCTAGGAAAGATATTGAATCGTGCTTTTATAAATTTTCTTTAAACAGATTAAACAGCTAGCAAAATCTTCATAAACAAGTTAAAGCAGATATAATTAGAATTAGAATTAGGACTTTTCACAAAAGATAGAATCCAACACAAATTTTGTGAAGGAAGCGTATCTAAAAGCCCCACTCCAACAGGGAAAATGGACAAGGCGCCGGCGCCGGCGCCGGCGGAGGAGGACAGCTTTGAGTCTCCGGCGCCATATCTGTAAAATAAGTACTCAATTGACTGTCACCGCCGTGGCATCCCGAATACGTCCCTCCCAGAGGTGGCCACACGGTTCTCACCGCCGTTCCCACTGCCGTGTCACTACTCCGCGGAGGTGTATCCAGCGTAGATTGGTTTTGGCCCCACCAATACGGTGATTCCTGGGGCCGAGAAGATTGACAAAAATTATGAGCTTCGAGACCAGTCTCCGGCGACGGCGACATAATACCTCCCACGGTTGCATCGTCTTCTTCCACCTCTGTTTTGACAGGCATGCCGGACGAAGACGAGGACGAGGTGGTGGCAGCGGTGGCCGGCGATATCAAGCGCCGCCTCTTCTCCGCCAACTGTCTTCCTTCTCTCTCGGCCAATACGCGAGATAGAACGTCAGGGTCCTCCACCACTTTGCACAGAAACGCCATCATTTGCTGAGGCCGTCTCTCGGTAGCCTCCAGCCTCTTATTCATCCACTCAACCTCCTTGTCCAACGCCTTCTGCTCCTCCTTCAACCTCGCTATCTCCATCACCAACACTTCCTCATCCATTTCCTCCAGCATCGTCCCCTCAAAATACGCTATGTTCTTATTCTTGCTCTGCTTCTTCCTCACTATGTTCACTAGCAACTGCTTCTGCCCTCGCAGGAACCACTCGTTCGCAAACTCCCATCGATCTGGATCCACCTTCTTGAAACCCTATCATAAATTCCATCACACGCAAGCAAGATGCTTGAATAAAAGCGGTTGCTAAATTAAATGAAAACTCAACGGAAACGATCGAGGAAGATAGCTAACATAGGTATTGAGCTGACGAATGAAGCTGGAGAAGTTATTGTGCTTGAAATAAGCAGGTAAGATCCTGCGGGAGAAATCCAAAGGGTCGACGACGACGAAGCTGTTATTGGCTGGCCCCCAAGCAACGAGATTATCGGTCCTGGGATCGCTGACTAAGTGGTACGTCTTTATGACGAACGGCGAGATCACGTCGTTCTGCTCCATTCCATATACTCTCTCTCTCCTTGGATGATGCGGATGTGTGTGTATGTGGGAATGATTGTGAATCCGAATAAACCTGAGCTTCTTTCTATTTTGAGGAGGGAGGTCGCGTTCTTAGTTTCTTAAGGATGATGGAGCACCACCGTGATATATAAAGGGACGCGCGCACAGTAACAGAGGTGGCTAACGTGGCGATCTTTGGGAGTCACGAGATGGACCCCACGTGGCTCTGCCCTTTTCTTTCTTTTCTTTTTTTGTTTTTCGCTTTTTTTGTCAAAACCAGTTTTTGGTACACGTAATGTATCAGGGACGTTGAGATATTTTGGACGGGGACGAACGACGGTAAGCACGCGCGTATTGAGAGAGTGGAGGAAACAATTAATCCGGGCGAGATGAGTGCGCGCGTGAAAGGGTTCCCATGGGATTAAACGACACGTTTTTGATTTGGCGCTGCGAGTGCTGGCATTGTCACTCCCAACTCGGTTTTTGGAATTTAGCTTTGTTCTGGGTACAATTTTAGAATTTATTATTTAAGTAGCTATATATGCAATCATGTATGCGTGAGTGTAAACAATTGAGGCGCAACTAACAGGACCATTTGTTAAATTTTTTATATTTTATTTTGAATATTGATCAATGATTGATCACATTCTTTTGCATATAAATATATTTCTTCTTTAAATTTAAGAATTATTATAATTTAATTGTTCTTGTGTATATAAGCATGGAGTTTGAAGATCAACTGTCACAGTTTACATCTCACTGCAGATAATCGAACTTCCTATAGTGTTTTCTTAATAGGGATGTAGGTTTTGATGTACATATTACATGAAATTTTTCAAAAAACTACATAATTTATATTACCAGTAAATAGTGCTACTTGTTAAAAAAATGTATGTTATATAGTGATGGTTTTTCATCTGAATGAGATTTTAATCAACAGTGAGAAGTGGCAAAAGTTGAGACACCTCTAATCCAGGGGTTTGATTTGAAACAAATAAATTAACAAACTGTGAAATCTGCAGTGTAGGAGGAATAGAAATTAGCACATGAAAACATAAAATGCTAATAATATGGCTGGATGGGAAGAGAAAAAAAGTACCAGCTTGTAGTAGCTAAGTCACTGCAATATTTTAACTTAGATTCAGGGATAGCATTAAAAAATTCACTCAAGCGTGATTATTGGTGTAAGGAAATATATTTGAAGGAATAAAGAAAAGGCTTGGCGAGCGGGTCATAAGATTCGGGTGCTGGCAATGGGATTGGCTTTGGGGAGAAGAACGACAAGGGAAGTGCGTGTGTCGTTTCCTGGTTGGTCCACGTGCAATTTTCTCCACTGGGGAGCAGCTGCATGATGTAATTTCATTTCGATCGTACTCAACAAAAGCTGATGGGGTGAATGGAGAGGTAAGTACATGAATAAATATAACAACGGTTGAAACAATGTGAGCATAAGAGAAAAGTTTTGATCGTGTGGTTAGATTACGAGTGAGGCAGTGGATTGGGGGCCTTGCCCTTTCGGGAAACGACAGATCCATTGCTTAACAAAAGCAGTAATGGAGGGATAATTAATATGATTGGGATGGTTGAACATAATTTAATAATACAAGAGAAGAGAATAGTGGGAACGAATCTTTCAATATCAATATAAATATATATATATATATATATACATATATTATTACTCAGGGCCAGGGGGCTCCAGCATCATGTGGATCATATTCCCTCTTATCATATATGCCTCCAAGAAAAGAATACTTTCTGCTATAACCATTTGGTAAGGATTTGATCCATCATTTATAAGATCATATCCCATTATTTAGTTATAGTAATCTTGTTTATCAGTGATATATATGTAAATACTTTTTTTTTTGAGCTCAGGTACATGCTTTCAACTTCTTATTAGTGTTTTGGAACCTTGACTGAACGTCAAGCCAGAAAAAGCAACGAGTCACAGTTTTTATGGTTCAACTGATATAAAAATTAAATAAAAATAGTATTTATATACACAAATATATAAATAAAACATTAATGTATCGATGCTACTCGGGATCTCAATGCCAAAAGCTAGATGCCTGGACTGCTAGAGTTGGGAGTAGAGGCATGTTAGTACAAGCTCGCGATTTCGAAGGAAAAAGCTAGAGTTGGAGGCACACGTCATGTCACGACTCACAAGCTTTTGATTTCAATACCAAATGTTAGATCTTTAGAGCTAAAGGTAAAGGTTGGATGATAAGTTAGAGATTGAGCATGCATGGGGGGGGGAGATTAGAGAACAGAAGAAAATTGGAGATTAAAGAGGAGAAATCATGAATCTAAATGTCTTAACCTAAATTTCTTTTTTTTTTTGTTTTGAACTGAGTTGACCTGCTCCTAGTTCTGGGTTAAATCCAATTCTATGAAAATTGTTGGTTCAATCCGGTCCAAAAGTTAATTTGATTCAATTGGTTGAATCAAATCATTTTACTTAGCGAGCTGCAGTCGGATTGTCCAGTCCAGTTTTCACAACATTGCTTCTTATCACTAACTTGACTTTGACATGTTCTTGTATTAGAGCAAGTGCAACGTATATGACTCTCCATCTCCATCGTCCGCCAGCAGTTAACTAGTGATCGGAACGATATAATTAAGGTGCTTCTCGCAAACATTAATTTCAGTGTCCCATTATAAACAAACAGAGGCTTCATTAAGGTGCCCTGAGACTTGGGCTACATCTACAAAATCTAACTGTGTGATCTGCATCGCTGCGTGCTTCACTCAACGTGTCATCAACAAGCGTCCACCGCAGTGTTCCACTTCCAGCAATGACTTTCTTTTTATGCTTAATTGACATTAATACACGCACACAAATATACATCCTCACTGTTTCGGTTAGTAATACCAACATAATTAGGTATACATATGTGTGTGGTTTCATTAATTATTTGAAGGTTGCAGCTGCATGCAGGCGTTTCTGTTTATCTTTTCATCAGATTTCATTCCTTACGGTAACAATAATCTCTTAATTTTTAGTGTTGTGTATCATGATATTATATATAGTATAGGTGAAGTCTGCCTTATGTCGGTAGATGAATTCGTTTAAGCAACATTAATACGAACGTGTTGAAGTTAGGATGAAAATTCAGTGCTGCGCAACTACGCTAGAATTTAACTGTTTGGTATCATGTGCATTTTAGAACTATTTTGACTTTTTCCAAATCGGAATATTCTCTAGTTTCAAATAAAGATCTCTGGAGCGCTTATTATTGAGGGTGAAAAGACAAAATCAAAGAAACAAATTCTGCAGTAGCATTGGGACTATTTGGAGCCACGTGTGTGCTTGGAGAATTCTCATTAGCCACATGAAGATTTTTTATTCGAAGTAAGGAGCGAGGAACGTGAGGGGATGATTGTAAAAGTGAACTACGGGAAGGGGACACGATAGAGAATTTGACGATCAATTCAGACCCAAGACAATGTGACTTATGTTATGACAGAGATCCCAAGTCTCGCCATGTGTCCACCTTGTAACAATCATGCGCTGGACAAAGCAGAAGAGAACAGGGACAGCCAGAGACATGAATAGTGAAATGAGACATATGATTGGGCAACTTTAATCCAAGTGTCTCTTTTGATCAGTGGTGCTGTTGGAGGCGGCCAACAGGTGGCACAAAACATTAAGTATCAAAGCATAGCCAGAATCTGTGATGTTGCCTTCTTTGTTCGGCATTAACAGAACATTTTGCCTAAACATAAAACTACCATATCATCTATACGTTGAAAATTTGAAGAATTTTTTAGGAGATAATGTTGTTGTAATGTTAAGGATGCGATAAACATGTCTGAATGTAGCTAAAAATTCATTGGACTGATTGTACAAAAGAATAACACATCGCCAAACTTAAAAAGGACAGGAAGTAACTGACAAAATGGATGGCGAGAGATCAGTGTGAGAACTGGGGTTAGGCACATGCTGCTAAATTTGGATGGTGAAGGTGTCAATTACTTTACCGATTACTTAGTCACACATCAAGTTGCTGTTTCGGAAGCCTGGGAAGTGAGGCTAAGCTGGTGACAAGTGGGTCATAAATATGAAGACTAGTGCATTGGAATTCAAATGTTAATTGGCAAGTTAAGAAATGGAATAATCAGAGCTACAGGGGAAGATCCCAATTGATGCTGATATGGTGGGTCCTGCGAACGACGCAAAGCTTACTGTTTGAATGGGCCAACAACAGTGGCAATGAGCATAGGGACTTCGGGGAATTACAAGATTCAAAACCTGTTTCTGCCACTTGGAGTCATCTTGGCGCCGATTCTCTCCTCTGTATGTTATATACACTGTCAGGTTGTTATGCAGCATTATTGATGGTGTTGCCCAAATTATGGTATGCTCAGTATTGTGTTTGAAGACGCTTGGGGAGGATTATAGTGATTCTTCCTAATTTGTGCTGTGGTTTCCACTTTGGATAGTGTAATTTCGCGTTCCTTGGTTCAGTTGTCATCTCACATGATTTTCTTGTGCTTGGTGCTACAGTAGAAGACTTGTCTGTGAATTTTAATGTGCATTTAGTTTTCAGTTTGTCAAACGTTCATTTAGTAAAAGTTCATTTGGTGAAAATCAGTTTAGTGAAAGTCAGTTGCTTTAACGAAATTTGTATTTGGATATATTTTTTTAAAAATCAGTTTGATACATTGAAAATTGTTTGTTTTGTGATAATGAAATGTGCTTTTAAATGTACAGTTAAAAAGACATTGATTTATAATGATATAAATGTAATATATTTAAAATATTTTAAAAATATAATAAAGATTTTAAATAACATAAATTTTGATCTATAATGCTCAAAATTTGATCTCTAGTTATTTGTATTTTTTTTAATTTGTAATTTTAAAAGATGTAATAAAGATTTATAATTTTTATTATACATTAATGTTAAAAATTAACATGATTAATTACTCAATTTATAATACTAAAAAAATTGATACCTTATTATTTTTATAATAATTATATTTTTAATGAATTAATTATTTTTTAAATAAAAGAATAAGAGATTAAATTTAGGGCCCACAAACAAAATTCAGAAAATGAAACTCCACAAAATCACTAAATCCTATGGAAAAACAAGTGATTATGATATCTCATAATCTGAGTAAAATATGAAATTTTATTTCAAATATAGCTTAGTAAGATAATAACATAAATCACTGAATAATATCCTATTTTTTAAATTTACTTTTTAAAAGCTTTAAATAGTTACATTTTAGAAATTTACTTTCAGCTACTGTTTGAATATACTTTAAGAATGTGCTTTCTTATAAAATATTTTATCTAAATAATTTTTAACTTTTTAAAAATAAAATTTTATTTTTTGAACATGAAATAGAAGAAAACTAAACGGACCCTTGAACCACTAGAATTGTAATAGTCCTTCGCTAAAGGATGTAGTTGAAACGCTGTGTGGATCGTTAGATTTGGGCTTCATTGGTGGAAGTAACCAGGGCAAGAATGTGATTGATTTGTATTGATAGCAATAATATTATTTCTTACATTCATGCATCATGGAGTTGAGATGGCCGAGTTGGTCTAAGGCGCCAGATTAAGGTTCTGGTCCGAGAGGGCGTGGGTTCAAATCCCACTCTCAACAATGTATTAATATTTTATTTTCACTTTGTTAATCGGGCTTGTTTCAGCCCAATTTACCTTTATGGATGCACTGTTTTCCCTCTTCTCGGCCCAAGTTTTCCTCATAAAAGTATCTGTTTTCCTCATAAAAATTATTATATGCCAATATCGAGCGAAGGATAATATAGCTACTGTCAGGAGATCATAGCTGATAGTTTAAATTTTTTTAAAAAAATAAAATAAAGATTACACTCACACGGCAGTGATGGAGTAAATAAACGTTTGTGTAAACTATTTGGTTTGTCTCGTGACTTGTCAAATGTACGAGATAAGGTTGATTCATTGATCCAATGGGAGGATTTAATCGAAGATAGTTTAGATTAAGCTCGTCTAGGAATTTGAAGCTACCTACCTCGTTAAGGCCGCAAAGACCGACTTAATAGTTCATGATGAAGTAGTATTGTTTTGTCTAATTCAATTAAACTTTGTAAATAAAGTATAAAATTTTCCGTGTATTTCCAAGATAATATAATATTAACATATGCTTTTAAAAAAGTTTCAATATCATCAGACCTCGTGAACCGGCAGTACTGGCTAAATAGTCATGAGTTTTTCTCAAGGACACTTTCGAAAAGATATCACCAAATATTGGTTCATACAACTCTACTTTATGTCTTATAAATATAAATAAATAAAAGTGCTAAAAAGAAAAGCACCTAATAACTTTATTGATACGGTGTGGATAGTTTTTCTTTTATGGTTTAATGGCGAGAGTTGAGGGTGGTTTCGAGCTAATCGAAGAAGAATTAAAGTTTAGGTGAAGGTTAGGTGTGAAAGTTAGTTCCAGTTCCAGGCTTAGCTAAATGAACGGGACGACCCTCCCTTTCTCTCTTGATCAGGCCTATGACTTTCATTAACATTGCTTATTATTCTTCTCATCATGGTAATATTTGATTTCGCACCTCTTCATCTGTGTTATTATTCTGCTGATCCCTCTTAATAATATTGTAAATTTATATGAATCTGGTTTGTGGGTGCAGTCTTTGACAGGTCTGATGCTGAGATCGATAGTGAGGCTGTTTGCATCGCTGATGGGTGAGCCTGTTGCATCAGTCTCGACCTTGCTCTATTACAGTGGCCTTCTTCCTCAGAACATGGCCCTCACCAGAATGGTCCGCCACGACTTGCTTCATCATGGGAATTACCTCTTCCGCTTCCTCGTCGACTTGTTGACTTGCTTAACCTGATTATCCCCCTCTGCCGTTTTCCAGCTCAGGGAATTAAAACCCTTCATCGTCAGTTACCTGCGAGGGATGCTTCTGGCTGAACTAGCAGCAGCATATGGCTGTGAGGAAAGCGACGAACTGTTAACAACATATGATCGATCGTTTTAGTATTTGTGAGTGATCTCGTGAGCAGGGAAAGATGAAAACACATTGAGACACAACTCATGTAATCATGGAGTTACTGTTTCAAAATAATAAACAATTCGACTCGTTTCACCATTTTGTTCACCTCACACGCCACATGGGTAGATATTCAATGAATCATATATTCGTGTTTGTTAGTATTCATTTCATTCATCATGTGGGGTAGATAAAATTTGTACTGTAGTTATACTACTAAAACTAAAAGTCTCGATCGATGCAACTTGTTCCAAATATTTTTTTAGCTTTTTTTTTTTTTTGAGAGCGTGCGTGGCTTAGTTGTATATTTTTTTACATCCTGGACCCTGCCACCAACATGAAACTTGAAAGATTCAAGTGGGAAGCTATTTTTAATTTTATTTTTCCAATAAAAAAGTCGGAGGGTTGCCGTTCCTCAAACAAATCATTTATATCTCTCGCTAGTCGCTACCAATCACGCTCAGATATTTATTTATATGATTATGTCCCTTTACACTTCCTGCCTACCACGCTCATATGTTTACTGTAATTTATAACAACGAAAGGGAAATATTTTGGCCCCAAAAAAAAACCGAAAGGGAAATATGAAACCGATTTCTCAAAGTAAATGTCGCGTTTCATTAATTAATTATTTAATTTTTAATTATTAATGTGAATTCAAAATAACTATTACTCCCTTCGTTAAAAAATGTAAGACATTTTTAATCGAATCTCACTTTTCAATAAAGTAATTACCTATTTTTCAACTAACCTTATTTTTTTATATTTATTTCTATTAAACACCTTACAATAAATATAAAGTCATTATCAATAGAAGTACTTTTGACAAAAAAAGGTAATAATTATACTTCGAAAGACTAAAAATGTCTTACATTTTTTAATATACAACTCCTCAAAAAATACCTTATATTTTTTAATGAATAAAGTATCTTTAAGTTAAAATACAAAAAAATTATTGTCATATTATTTTTATTTATTTATTTTCACACTTTAAATGGATGAATCAATCTCTCTCCTTCGAATGTGATTGTGGGAAGCCATGCGCTATGTACGTCATATTGAAAATATTTTATATGAAGATTTCAATTTTTTTTTAAGCACTCCTGAGTCTGAAGAAAATATATTTGAAATTTGAAATATCCTTATATCTTAAATCGGACAAAGGGGGAAAAATATACACAAACTTTTTCTTTAAAAATATCGAGTATCTTTAATTGAAAAAAAATACAAGAGTATCCATAAAATTATTTTACCTTGTCACGTAGAACACAAAATATGACGTGTCTCCCTGCATCATCCTTTTCAATTGCAATCATGTCGGAAATTAATATATGATCAACGCTCCCTTCAACTTCAACCCCCCCGGTGGTTCAAGTCCCACCTTTCACCCCCTGTGGCCATCATCTCCGACTCCTTCCTTGGCCGAAAGAGAGAAGGTGTAATGAAGAAGCCAACATACAATAGGGGAAATATCAATTGACCGTGTTCTGAGCAGAGAAGAGGTCATCAAAGGTTGGTTAAGAAGGTAGAAAGCTTTAAGCAAGAAGGGGAAATAACCCACTCGTGCTTTGCACTCACCAAAAACTGATACGTTTTGACACATTCGTAGCCACTGACAACATAAACGAGAGGAAGAGAAAGAAAGCCCAAGTTGGTTACTGAGTCATGTAGAAAGCAGACATATCTATTTCTTGTAAACACAAACAATCACCCCGTTAATATATACCCTCTCCATTTTTTCTATAAGAATAAATTTAGGGTTGTTTGAATGTTGAGAGAGAAATATTAAGTGAGATGATAACGTGATGATTCATTCATCTGGAAGGAGTACAATATATAAACTATAAACAGAGAGAGAATCTCGTGATAAGATTACAATCTGATCAGATATACTATTATCATATAATATTTACAATATCCTAGGATATTATGTTTGAATCAGTCTCGTATATGCTGTTAGGATGAAGTATTATGATGCTTCTGGATTGTATTCTGTTAGGCCGAGGTAGGTGGGTTTGATGATATGCTAACAGCCCCCCTCAAACAAGAGGGTCCTGAGCACACCCTGAGTTTGGTACACATATAAGCAAACTGAGTATGACCAAGTGGTTTAGTGAGCAATTCTGTCGTTTGCTCATGAGTGGGAACGTAGCCTATTGAAAGTTGACAAGCAAGCACTTGGTCATGAACAAAATGTCCATCAATCTCAATATGCTTTGTTTGAGAATGATAGACTGGGTTCTTGACCAACACCGCTGCACTTACGTTATTGCACTATATGATTTTAACTTGTCGAACTGGAAACTTTAGCTCTTTTATAAGTGACTTGAGCCATGAAATCACTGCTGTACAATTAGCCAAAGAATGATATTCATATTTCGTGCTCGAATGAGAAACTAAACTTTGCTTCTTGGAGGACTATGACACAAGAGTTCCTCCTATGTACACACAATACCCAGTCATAGATTGTTGATCGCTCGGGTAGGCAGCCCAATTAGCATTAGAATAAGATACAAGATCAAGACACTTCAACCTACTCAATTGTAGCCCATGTAAAACAGTACCCTTTATGTATCAAAGAATTCTCTTCACAGCTTGCTAATGTGATGTCGTAGGACAATTGAGGAATTGACTAAGTGGTTGACAGCATAAGAGATATCGGGCATGTTTGTTAGGTACTGTAGAGCACCAATGGTGCTTTGAAACTTGAAAGACTTTTGATGTCATTTGAAAGTTGATCATGTAATATCTCCTTTTACTAAATATAATTAATCAATCAAACTCATGGTAATTAAAGAGTTAATCAATTTAGTATATTACCAAGTTTTAATTTTAAATTAAGGAATCTTAAGTTTTCATAATCAGAATGAGTTAAAACCATTCATAAACTCTTATATCAAAGTAAAAACAAGTTATAGAAGCATAAGATATCTCAAAGGAGTTAAAGAAATTGAAAACAGTTAACAAACAACTTATTTGTCACAGATCAACAAGGTAATGTGTCGCGGCTTGTGCACACAGTACTGCAGCATGTTACTCTCTGTGCTGCATGCTGTAACTTAGGCACTAATGCGCCATCGCGTGTTGCACATTTTCTTGATAGCTAATTTTGTTGTCATTTGATAGCAAAATTAAGGAACTTTTGACGTGTCCCGTTTCTCCATTTGACGTCTGAATGACATGATCTAAGTGTTTATAGAAAGCTCTTCTCATGAACTAGCTAATGACATAAGTTTTACTTTCAAAACAAGTCACACTAGAAAGTTGGACACCCAAACACAATTTTACTACTTTTCACAAACAAAGGGTGCCTACAAACCCCCTAACAAGTGCCAATAGCCATACCTAGTATCCAAATTATATTCATTGGACCTAGGACTATGATTACGATATGTCATGCACATAATTACCAATATAATATAAAATCACCCCTTAACCCCTTTTTCTAAAAACAGCAGGAGGAGGTAATTTACCTTGCATTACATCAAAATCATTCATAACATGTTTGAAATATCATTTCTACACTTGTACTAGTATTTTGGCCCAATTGACATATATAACTTATCACATACAATTTCTCAAGGCCCAAAATACATTTCAAATATTGAAATAACCACATAGTACAAGTGTAACTAGAAATGCAACCTAAAATTGACAATGATATTTTATTACACAAAATAAACATAAACTAAAGGCATACAGTAGGAATGTACTAATTCCTAAGCCTCCTAAGCTTTCTCCCTCTCAGCATCATAGCTAGAACCTGTAAAATATTAAATGCAAGAGGTAAATTTAGCCACTCAGTAACCAAGGTTTGACCTACCCTATGCAGTTATATATTAAGTGTAATCAAACACAAGCATATGAAATTAATTCTTAAAACATGCTTGAACATATATCATAACTTATTATTCCAGTTCACACATTTTCATCCAATATATGTTAGGTATATAGTCACAAAACACTTAGACATGTGACCATAACCTGATATATTACATGACCTACCATAACTCAAAACGTGTGCCACATCATATAAACTCATAGGCAATGATCAACCAACCTTATATTCTCCTTATTTCCTTCAACTGAAACCGTGGGCTATAACATTAAATTGGGTTCCATCCATGTAAGTAGACTACCCAAACTTATCAATAGTGAAGTGTGACCCGGCCAAAAATCACAGTACTCACTCTCGAACCATGGCTTTCCCTACTTTCGAATATCTAGGGTGTCGTACACCCTAAGCTATTCTCCTTAATAAACTGATAGAGAAAGTTAAGTTTCAGTCCCTCGACAAACTATGGAAAAAGGCTATAGCCTCATGCACCGAAGGGCAGTTTAAGTATCATATGAATTTTCTCTACGCCTAATCCCTAGGCGAACTCCTACCCACTGATCATGCCATATACAATGTGCCACAAAGCATGACATAGAGAGGTCTTCTCTTATTCTAGTATTTGTCTGTGTGCATGGCGTGTGACTTCACACCGGACTTATAATTAAGGCTGAAACACAACCTAAAGGCAATTATTAGACCTCTCTAGCCATATACCACTATAATTTACTTAACTATCGTAATTAAGCTTAATTAATCATAGGGGTTAAAATTCGAGATGTTATAGATCGTATAGGTTTGGTTCAAAGGAAGAGCATGGTGGCCAAGATAAAAGCCACCTAACATGAATTATGAGGCTCTAGATAGAAAATTAATTGACATTAGTTGTTTTTTACCATTAGGGGATACCATTGAAGTAAGTTTATAGGTGCTGCATTAGCTTTCTTCACTTAAAAAATATTGGGTGCTTTTGAAAAAAACTTTTGTGAATATTTTTGTTCCTTTACTTTTTTAAATATCAATTGATATTAATTAAGTTTTTCTCAGATATTCAACTTTTATTTGGTGATAATAAGGCTTTTAGCCCATTTATGCTCTAACCAGGATAAAAAAGGTACAATATATACATCCCTTAAAGTGCATAGGCAAAAATTGGATTGGAATATACTCTTCTAATTTTATTTATAAGGTAGATAATGAAGATTAATTTGAATTCTATTTATAATGAATTTCAATATTTTATATAAAATGAAATATACTCCTTTAGTCTTATTTATAAGATAGAAAGTGAAAATTAATTTTGGTCCTATTTATAGAACATTTCACTATTTTATATGTTCGTTTTTATTTTTTACTTTTAATATATGTTAGAAAAAATTATTAAAAATAATTCTTTTTGTTCTTATTAGTTGATAGAGGTAGAAAATTATTAAATTTTATAGCAGAATTAATAAAATTTAATATTTTTCTTGATTCTAATGAAACATGTTGGAAGTAACTCATGAATAGAATTATAGAGAATATCCTCCATCTCAAATTATAAGATAATTCAATATAGGATTACACATGCCAATACATAAAGCTCAATAATGACACCTTACAAAATTTTTTTTCAAAATAAAAATATAAACTTTTACAAATTTCTTTCTTTTAATATAATTTTAAATCTACAATTATTTTAATTCTCTTTTCTCTTAAAGGATTATATTAAAAAAGTATCAATAATAAAAATTTATTTTTTGTTAAACTATCTTATATTTTAGGAAGATAAAATATCTTTTTAGTTATCTTACACTCCCTTTATTTAAAAATATAAAGCATTTTTAATCGAATCTAACTCCTCAATAAAGTAGTTAGTTATTTTTCAACTTATCATATCTTTCTATATTTATTCCTATTAAATACTCTATAATAAATATAAAGTCATTATCAATAGGGGCACTTTGAAAATAAAACAATAATTACACTTTAAAAAATTAAAAATATTTTATATTTTTAAATATTTAATTTTTTAAAAAATATTTTATATTTTTAAACAGAAAGAATATATATTTTAGAGTGAGTTGCTTAGAACCTGTCTGAGGATGTTTAGTTTGGAACAAAAAGAAAGCAAAAGGTTACTGCAATTTAAATTATACGTTATTTTCACAATTATGGATGTTGTTGCCATGCGCGTTGATCAAGCCACTAATTGTTTCCTCCCAAAGTCAATCAAAGCCAACAAGGTTGGCTGGTTGCACTACTTCCATTTCAGTTAGCACACTTCAAAATTTATTTCATATTTTTTTGAATATTAAATGAAAAATAAACTACTATTTTTTAGAAAAGTATAACAATTTTTAAAATCATTCATATCATTATTTAAATAATATAAATTATATTTAATTATTTTTTAAGTATCTTTATCTGATTTTATCATGTTCGAGCATTGTAAGGTTCACTTGAAAAAATTCTTTTAAAAATGTTTTCTATATTCATACTGATTTAAATTTAAGATTTTGTATTTAAGCGGCTACACTTTATTCTATTAAAACCAAATACCAATGTGTACTGATATTTTTTTATATGATTATCTTATTAAGTTATATTGGAGTATTGACAAACTCAATTAAGAATATCTCTATTAAAAATACTTTCTGCATTTATGGATTCAAAACTCGAGACTTAATATTTAATAGTTATAACCCTTTTTATTAAGACTATCGTGCCCTAAATTTAATTGTTTGGCTGTGCTGTTTCTTTATAGGAAGAAAACAAAGCCTATGACTTCCAATTAAATGTTGATTCTTGGTGACACCCAACTGATGAGTTGGACACAACTGGACGGATGGTCCACTCTTCTACTCTCTTTTTTGGCCAAAGGTCTATTCTTCTACTCACGTGAAATACGAATTAAACTTGTACCTTTTGCATTTAGAATAAAAAACCCTTTTTCCATCTCCTAATATTTCAACAAATCTATTTTTAACCTCAACATATATATATATATATATATTAATAAAACAAGGGCAAGCAGACAGCTTGATAAATAACCTCAACATATATTTTAAAGTAATTAATTTCTACTATTCAAAATGCGGTTATATATTACTTAATTCGACACAGGACACACGTAGCACCATGCGCACCCTTATTCCTTGAATTATTGAAGTTCAGCTCAAAATGTTTTTTAAAAAAAAAAAAAAATGAAGACCGAACACCGTATTAGGTTGACTCACGCTTGCGTACAAGACAACGTAAACATCCAATTGGCGGCACATCACTTTTCAGCTTTCCTTTTCTAAACATTAAGGTCAAATCACCAACACTAATTAATCATGATCACCGAGATTATTACTGGAAGTGATCATAACCTAACCTCTCCGTACTTCTCCTCGTCTCATGATTATACATATACCATGCGTATTCTTTTACTGGAACATTTTCTCTGAGTATTCCTTCTTACATTTTTATGAAACAACATTAACTTATCCATAATTTCTGCCTTGTCTTGCGACATAAAAAGATTAAGGTCGGCAAAGGGATGGTTGAGTTTTGACACTCAAGAGAACGCTAAGGACCGTATTCCGCGGAGCACGCACCGAATAGATGCGACACTTATGGCTCACCCTCCAAATGATTCCCAAAAATGATTGTAATTACCTGTCCGGGAAAAGAAATAAACAAAATTGATAACCTTGAATCTTGACCGTCCACTACCTTCTCAGACTTCTAAAAGAGTAATAGAATCTAGCGGTAATTATCGCTCCGTTTCATCCAAATTTACTTCCTTATCGTTAAGGCACAATAACCCTTCTGTTCTACCCAAAATGTCCTTCTAACGTTCACATGGAGTGTCTCATCGACGGTGGCCCCACCTTGGTCTTGATGGCTAAAGCCAAAGGTCATTATCGTAAGTTTAAAATATGAATTGTCACTGCGTCTGACACACTCAGGCCTTTTGCTAATTCTGGATTTAATTCTTCTCTTCTTCGTCCTCTCCTCGTCTTCTCGGTGGAGTTCTGTGCTATTGTTTTCTCTTGTATAGATTGATCCAAGGGATGCCGTTTGCTCTGAACTGCGTCGTTTACTGAGTGGAGCTGCCGAGTCGAGCGCTGTCTGAGATCCAGCATGTTGGACGGATTGCTCGGTCGCGGGTTCGCCGCTAAGTGGTTAGTGCTGTGATCTTATCGCCGTGTATCCGCCCTGTTTTGATTCGATTTGATCGTTGATTATGAAGTACTTGAGAAAGAATGTGAGAATGTGTTTATATGTGTTCGGGTTTTCTTTTCTGTTTCCGCAGTAAAGCGCTGATCAAATTGACCAAGAGTCGGATCGATGTGATAAGAAGGAAGCGAAAGGCGACTGAGAAGTTTCTGAAGAAAGACATTGCTGATCTGCTAGCCAATGGTTTAGACATCATTGCCCACGGAAGGGTAATTGATTTATTTATGTTGCTTATGGCTTGGGTTTTGTTTGATTCTTCGGTTGCTTGAACGCTGGAATCAATACTTTCGAGCATTCCATTTCTGGTTATTTGTGGGGTTGGCGCAAGCATGTATGTGGTTTGTTTTTGCTGGTCTACTGGTACTTGGAAAATGAAATTTTCTCTCTCCGGTAATCTCCTGGGTTTGTCAAAACAAATTAACTAATATAGAAGCAGAGGAAAAATACTGTCCAGCGTCCACAGTCCACACTCTTCGGCAATCTCCTAACAAACGCGGACAAACATGACAGTAATCCTGGCACCCTGACATGATAAAGTCTGAAATTTTCTCTCTCCGGTAATCTCCTGGGTTTGTCAAAACAAATTAACTAATATAGAAGCAGAGGAAATATACTGTCCAGTGTCCACAGTCCACACTCTTCGGCAATCTCCTAACAAACGCGGACAAACATGACAGTAATCCTGGCACCCTGACATGATAAAGTCTGAAGTTTTCTTGTAAAATAGTGTCAGGACATATTTAAAATGATTGTGTGTGGGCATGACTTACTCTTTGCAGTGAAAAGCTTCATATGTGAGAACTGTTTCTCCCCGGCATTTTTGACATGACTTTCCATGGGTATCTGAATGATGATTATCTGACTCTTTTCTTTATTTTATTATCACGCATCTGAGAGACTTTTAATTAACCCCTACCCACAACTAATTTTTATATCCTATAATACCATCTGAAAGTCTTGTCTTTCTTCTGAGGTGCTGAAATAGGCTGAAGGGCTGCTTGTTGAATTGACACTATCGTCTTGTTATGATTTCATCGAGAAATCGTGTGAGTTTGTCCTGAAACACCTCTCAGTCATGCAGAAACTGAGGTATGAATCTTTCTGTGATTCCTGGTTAAATATTAATTTCATTTCGTTTGCTTGGAAAAAAAAAATTGAATTATGCCCAGTCAATCCAATCTGCCGGACTTGTTGGGTTTATTATTCCTCATACTCTAAAACAGCCTATGCATGAAGAGTAATAATATGGGTCTTGGACATGAACAAAGAAGGCACAACTGAACCACACATCTACATGGATACTGATGGACATGGGATTACTTATATGAAGTTCAATATTTACGTCTCCTGTCACATTGTTGCTTGGTAAACTTTTTGAATGAAACAATGTATCAGCAGTTTAAATTGTTCACACATTACACTGGGAGTCCTTTTCACTTTCAATTTGTTCCTAGCTAAGTGTTTATTGTTATTTTCTTTTAAAACTTCACTCTCTGATTAATAACATCATTTTCCTCCTTGCATAAACATCAGAATATCTGACTGGCATCTAGTAATTATTTCTAAGCAGCCTTTGTGGCCAATGGGAAGTGTCTGCACTCCAACGTGATAAATGCTCCCATTTGCTTGTGGTTGACCAGCGATTTCAATCTTATCCTCATGTGTCAAGTTAGAATGATTATGAACTTTATTTGTTTTAATTTCTTTTGCAGTGGGTGCCCTGAGGAATGCAGGGATGCTGTATCATCTTTGATGTTTGCTGCTGCAAGATTTTCTGATCTACCAGAGTTACGTGATCTTAGGCAGATATTTCAGGAGAGATATGGGAATTCCATGGAATGTTATGTGAATCAGGAGGTCGCTCATTATGCTTGTTTTTTGTGAGAAATTTATAGATCCGACTAGCTCCTGAATAATTGGCTAAATTGCTTATTTTCAGTTTGCTGCAAATGTGAACTCGAGGGCTCCTACATTGGAGAAAAAGGTCCGCCTAATGCAGGAGATTGCTTCAGAGTTTTCAATAATGTGGGACTCCAAGGCTTTTGAGAAGAGGATGCAGAAACCTTCTCCTCTTGTACCGGTACTGTTTTCAACATTTCATTTCAATTATATGAGTAGCTTAGATTCCTGTTAAACAGCGTTTTTGCCAATTTTAATGTGCTCTGAGTGAAATAGCTCTCTTGTACATTGTTTCTCTCTTATTAGATCCTAAACCTGCTGGAGAATGTTTATGATAGTGTAATGATTTCTTATATATGACTTCTGCAGGATCGCAATAATTATAATTATAACCACTTGACTGATTATGATAAACCATCACTTGGCAACAATGCTATCATAAAAGGATTCAAGTGTGATGTTCCATTGCAGAAAAGTCCTGACCATCCTAAATATGAGCGTACATTTCACAATGGCAAGGAAGCAGATATCTTAGCAAGAGATGATCACAATATTCTGTCTGAATCCAAACTCCCTAGAAATGGAGCTAGGAAGCTAAATGGTGGAGATGATGTCATTTTGAAGAGGGATGGCCATCATGGTAGATTGCCGGGAAGGCTAGATTCTACTACTAAGAGGAGTGATAGAGGTTATTGGAAGCATGATTGCATGCCAGATCCAAATGGACCAGGCTGTTCATTGCAGGGTAAAACAGTGGAACACTTTGTTGGAGCTAAACTGCATGATAGTTGGGGCAATACCAATGCTCAAAAAGTAATCCATGATACTGTGGCTGCCAAGAAGCTAGACTTGAATCCCAATTATGCGGAATTGCATTTGAAGAGGAATGGCAATGAGCCATCTACTGTTAATCGTGCTACCCTACCTGAATCTTATGACATAGAGAAGAAGGTTCAAAAGGATGAAACACCTAGGGTGAAGCCATGCTACAATACTGGCCTCCCACCACCTTATGTTAAACCCAATTCTAAACAGAAGAACAGCACATGCGAAGCCAATATAGGATCTCTAAATGTTGTTAGTGATGGCATCGCTATAAATCCTTCAGTGTGCGACCAGCCTCATGCTGCTACTGTACCAGAAAGGAGCCAATTAAGTTTGGATAATTCTGACCCACGTAGGCTGACCAGTAGACATTCAAGGCATGGCAGACGGAGACATGAAAAAGAACTCTATGGTCAAGAAGATATGTTAGAAGTCCCTGCATCAAAACCAAAATCCATGAGGCGGAAGCACTCAAAATCACGGTCTAGTCATAATGATGACAGTGCCGAAGATGCTGGAGTTGTGACAAGAAAATCAAGGAGCAGGAGAAAGGATGAATCAAGACCGAGACATGACCAGCAAACTCTCTTTGATGATGAGCAGCATCGAAATGATGAAGAGGAAAGGATGATAGATAAATTACTGATTCATTATAGTAAAAAACCGTCCATCCCTCTTCCTGAAAAAGCAAGAAAGTCCAAAACTCGTCATGCACATCAAATGGATGACACAGCTGAAGAGACACCAGAGATGGTTTCCCTTCCACCTCGATCCATTTCCCTTCCTCCTGAAAAAACTGGAGCTGGAAAAGTTCACAAAGTATTTACTCGTGCTGCTACATTTCAGGCAGATAGATCAAATGAAGCTCGACATGTACATCCAAATTTACCGGACTATGATGATTTGGCTGCAAGGATTGCAGCCTTGAGAGGAACCTGAGGAAAAGAACTTAGCAATGGATATACGCTTCTTTACCTGGGCATGATGGCCTTTACCATAGAATCTCATATTCTGGTGTTAAAGATTGAGCCGGGGGTGCTTTAATTGCAAATTGCGGACTGCTGGCTGTACGTTCTCAGACATAATCTAATGCAGCTAAACTAGTAGGTTATACATTTCAGCCCTTTGTATGACTGTAAAGTAAGTGTTTGTAATTAATGTTTCGGTGCTCTTGCTTTGATACAAGTTGATGATAAAAGATGAGATGGCAGATAATTTGGCAGCAGTTTCTTATTCATCCCCTCTCCTCACACCTCAAAACTGAAAAGGTTGTTACAGTTCTTCTCTCTGTTGAGACGTAGTGCAGTACTCTTATTGCTTTTTTGTGGGTGATGACAAGAATTCTCTTAATTCTATGGTGATATAGTGCTGTCCACACTGTTTTCTTCTTTAACTGCAAATGCAAGTGAAAGTTGATCTTGAACGGAGTAATGGGATGGAATAGTGGATTGATTCCCTGGTCAGTGTGGATGGGGGGAAGTTTACTGTAAACACTAAAATGCGAAATGATCAATATGACCTCGAAGGCCAGTTAGAAATAATGAAGCGAACGTCAAGATAGTGGATGTATTTTTATTTTCCGATTTTTTAAAAAAATAGTAAAATTTTTACTCAAGATAAAGAGCGGAAAAGTCATTGAAGGATCCGGCCACACTATTTCTCCTTTAATAAGAAATAAGGGACTGAAGCCTGGCTTCTTCCCTGCAACAGGAATAGATTGGTTATATACGTGTAGCATCTAAATTGTCCTGTATATATTTAAAAAACATCTGAATTGTTTAGCTCTAAATATTCTTTTTATTCAAAACAAACATAAAAAGTATGGATAACCAAAATGTAAAAAACCCGACAAAATGGTTAAGATTTTGAAGAGTGACAATTGACGTAGTATTTCTGAATTTTCAAATTTGTGTGTTTAGATAATATCATCTTATTCTTTACCAGCAAAAACTCCGCAATTTTCTGCTTTAGGACACTATTCAAAACGAAACCCAAAGAAAAGAACTTAATCATAACCCACCAAATGATTGTGATTTAAATCACAAGAAGGAAATACAATATTAAAAGTTAAAACTAAGAATCATCTCGTTGGAGATTAGGAGATTTGAATAAAGATGGAGTTAGGCAGTCTCATGATCCCCACGAAACAAATCATATCCAACACCAAAATATGCTTCACTACTTTTTACAACAAAGCTCAGATTCACACCACTAAATTATTATTATTATTAAACAGAAGTTCATATGAATTGGATCATAGGAGCTTAATAGGGTCAGGTTAGGCCTCACAATTTAGAAAGCTTGTAAAGTTACCGATAATTGACAGTGGGATTTCAACCCGCGCTGTTATGAGACATGAATTACATTCCTTACCAAGGAATCTTAGTTGACAAGTGTTAATCGATTCTAATTTTCTTTTGACTCACTTTTCCATCGGATTTTAGAGTCCCATTGGAATCCCCTTCAGATGAAGCTTCTCGAGACTTCAAACAAGAACTGGAAAGAGCAGCATAGAGATCAACCACCCTTCTGATATTGTTATTCAGTTCTCTGATCAAACCCGCATTTCTACTCAGGTTTTGTGGCATGTTTGACAAGTGATTTTGATTGATCTCATTGATTAGCAATCTGTTTTGATCCAAAATGTCTTGGGCTTGCAGCAAGTTCTTCTGAAATGCCTCAATGATTCTGCTATCTACTTGGACCGCTGTATTGTCTACGTCTCCAAATATATCACCTTCCATTCCAATTAAAATTTTTGATTCAATCATCAAATGGTTCTGCAAAGAAAAGTGAACAGAAGTAATATTTTCTTGCTATAACTGCATAGAGAAAAGCTGTTTAGAATTGGGTTAAGTTGAAACAGGATTTTCGTTTATGAAACATTACCAACATACTCTATTTTAGAAAAATTCTTTGGCAGACATGTCACACGTGTATGTGAGACCTATCTACAACTTGCATCCGCCTATTATAGATTTGATTACTTAGTTTTGGTACAATTATCATATTTACCTCAATCTTGTATCACTTTTATCAAACAACGGGCAGGAAGGGTTTGCATAAAGATTTACCAAATCCAATCATATGCAGTCATACGAAAAGAAGAATCACGCTCTTTTCAGTGTCAACATAATTGTAAAAAGATCAAATTTAAAGATTCAAAGGATCAAAATAAAAGACACTAGACTGAACAACTTTTTTAAGACTTAAAGCAGGACTCTTCTGCACAGCAAAGAACGTTTTCTTTTGCTGCTGCTTTCATAAGCAGCTTCCCAACAAGTGGGAATTACAAAAGCTAGTCAGCACCAGAGAAAATGCTCTGCTTCAACAAGCCAAGCCAACCCACCAAAATGAGGTGAAACAACTTGCATTCATCTCTTAGAAAATAGTGTGGCTAAATTCTGAAACTAAATTATCTGTGTTAATTTGTAGAAGTTAAAAAGGGGTTAGGATGGTGCAAATGATGAAATTATAATGCGTATTCAGAGACAACCAAACCAGAAAGCTAATAACCAATAGACAGAAACACTCGCTTGAAGCAACAAGACCGTTCCCATCTTGATCAACTCTACTTGCATTTCTTCAGGTCTAAAATTAGGTTTTTCCAAATGAGTAATTATTTTATGAATCTAAAACTTTCTAAACTCCTTACTTTAGCCAACACTTAAAAATTTAAATAGGTTCAACACATTCGTGTACCTTATTTCTCAACATTACATAATCAAAAAGCCCATAATTTCAAACTCAATATCAATTCCCCTAAATTTCATATGAAGTCATTTTCTTTCATATTTATCTCCTTATACCTCTTATTAACCATATTTAATCAAGAACTGCCCAATTTCAAGTAAATCCCCAATTAGGTTAAAATGACTATTTAGGGAAGTGAAAGGGGAAAAATTCTTGAAAAACTCAAGAAAATGGAATCAAACCTTGCTTATTCCACCTCTTTATAAGCATAACCGAGCAAGGGTTTCTCTCGCTACTCTCTCTCTCTCTAAACGAAAATTTAAAGGCTAAGGGTTCGAGGGAAATAAATTTTCTCTTACAATATACATATCAAAATGATGTACATGCTTACCTTTATCTTTTAATCAGTTCAAATCTCCCAAAAGAGCACTTTGAACGTCATTGAATTCCTCAGTGTTGGAGTTTCATGAAACTAATACCATCCCCAAGAAGCTCTTGAAGAGTTGAGAAATTTTCCTGAAGGGATTTGTCTAGAAGTTAACGATTTTAGGGAAAATCCCAAGCCGTTTCCTTTCTATCTCTTACCCCAAATTTTCACACCATTTTAGTAGGTATTCCTTCCAATTTTTGAGCTTTCTACGAGCAGAAAGATGAAGAAAACCTATAAAAATCGACTTTGTTTTTAAGCCCTTGAAATTTTAAGACTTTCGTTTATAGCCCAAAAATTGAAATATCATTACTTTTGAATCCCTCAAACATTTTCCCCAAGTCCCTTTTCTTTTTCCCATCACAGAGACCGGAAGGCCATACAGTCGACGATGTGGGTTTGAAGAACAATAAGACACACTACCCTTTTTTTTTTATAATTAATTGATTAATAATAATCCCTCCCTCTTTATTTATAAAACAATTATTATTTTTATTTTTTATATAAGTAAAATTATATTTTTTAATAAGAATTTATTACAAACTTCCTAAATTATCTCTTATAATTTTATTATTCAAAATCATATGAAACAATTAATAAAGGATTGATTAACACAATTAACAAAAAGTGTTGTAATTCAATTCTTTTATTTTTAAACATAATTAATATAATTAATTAATAATTTTAAATTGTGTAATATAATTTTTTTTTCTTTATTAAAGCATGTAATTAATTGTAAACATTTGAGAGTGTCTAAAATATTCTTTGGGTATATACATGGCTTTAGTAATAGTATAGAGATGCCACGTGTCACCATCATATTATATCTTTGTGTAACTGTTGTGTACTATATATTACACAACACCAGCACTGACCTCACTATTGAGGTCTAGCATTTTCTTAAACAAATCATTATTGCTTTTCTTTCTTGGTATCAGAGCATCCTTTGGCATTTTCTTGATATTTGTCTGTGTGCTTCCATGGCTACAGCCTCCCATTTTTCCTCTACTACTTTTGATAATACATCTTCATTGGCCTCGATGATTGTTCACATTGGCTCCAAAATCAATTCCCTATTTAATTCTTTTAATCAGGTAGCAACCTCTGTCAAGTTGGACAGAGAAAGTTATCTCATTTAGAAATTTATTGTTCTACCATTGATTGAGGGAAATAAGCTCAAAGGTCATATCAATGGTTGTGATGTTATCCGACCTCATCTCATCCCTGATAGTGCAAGCTGTGGGGTCAAGATCAAACATTGAGTCTGAATATCGTGTATTGGCAAATGGAGGTGCAGAAATCAAATGGGTATACTCACTGTTGATTGAACTTGGACTATTTTTAAAATCTTCACCTATCATTTGGTGTGACAATATTAATTCCATGGCTCTCACCTCAAATCCTGTTCGGCATACTAGAAGTAAACATACTGAAATAGATATTCATTTTGTAAGAAATCAAGTGTTAGCAACACATTTGGATTTTGGTATGTGCCCTCTTCTCATCAAATTGCAGATTGTTTCACGAAGGCTCTTGCTCCTAGTCAATTTTATGGTTTTTGTCACAAACTCAGTCTGTCCATAACACCCTCTCATTTGAGAGGGGGATGTTAAAGCATGTAATTAATTGTAAGTATTTGAGAGTGTCTGGAATATTCCCCAAGTGTATACATGGCTTTAGTAATTTTACAGAGATGCTACGTGTCACCACCATATTGTGTTTTTTGTGTAACCATTTTATACTATATATTACATAGCACCAGCATTGACCTCACTATCGAGGTCTGGCATTTTTTTAGATAAATCATTATTGCTTTTCTTTCTCTCCTATAAATAAAAATGAAAAAAGTACTAATTGGTAAGGAAAATAGTAATAAAATAAAGAGTTGTTAAAAACATAGGCCCTCAAGCTATAGCTTATAGCTATTACAAGATTTACTTATTTCATTTATAAGACACTTTTAATATGTTTCATGAGAATTAAGAAAAATTTTAAAACTTGCAAATTATATTTAAAAATTTAAAAATTTTTCATCTTTACCCCTATTAAATATGTATTGTAATAATATATTTTCTCTCTTCAATATTCAATGGAGGTCCAATAAAAAGGTTTGCAATAAAAATTTAATGAGGTTACTTGTAAATAAAAAAAAATCTCTCTCTACCCTAATGTTTTCAAAACTAGATCGAATATTAAATTGGAAGTGCCAGCAATTTAGGATTCACATGTTTCAACTGACTAATAGTCGAACCAATGACATAATAATTAAATTTAAAAAATTATATATGATATAATAATTTAAATATAATAAATAAATATGAACTTATTACTTAACTTAAAAATAAAATTAAATATTTTAAATTTAGTATGACTTAACAAGTTACATAATCTAAATCTAACATAGCATCACATGATTAAAAAAATGGGTCATTTTTAAAAAACAAACAAAGGTGTCATTTTTTGAGCTATCCAAATTTTAAGAACTGAATTCATTTCTCGGTCCAAAAGGTCTAATCTAGCCTACCTTCACAAACCATTTTTGAATACAAACTAAACCATTAATGGCTTGGGTTGACAATCCGACCATCCAATTTGGATCCGATTTTTAAATCATTACTCTATCCTGTATATAGAAGTAAGGGAGTATTAATTTGTTTCACAGCACAACTTGGAAATTGTTAGGGTTTTATGGTGAATGGAATTTATATTAGGAAAACTAAACGTCTCATAAAAAAAATTAATACTAAATTAAGATCTTATCATGATTTAAATTCTTAAATTTAGTACCCATTTTTTATATTTTAATACTGAAAATATTTTAAAAAATAATTTAACGTTAACTTAGTTAAGAGATTCTTAATTGTCATTTTCTTGATATTATTTGTTAGTGGCCTTCTTTCCTGCCATCAAGGTTATTTTCTTCATCAAGTTCACAATTGATTTTATCTCGTTCTATTTTTGTAGCTATCTGTGATTTGTGGACAACTTGGCTCAAGAAATTCGAAAAGAATAAAAAGCTTTTTTGCTTTATTGCAATGCTTCAATTCTCAATTTATCAACAAGTTGGTGAGAAAACAATTTCACGATGCATTTCAATTTCTTTTTCGTTGTCAAACAACTGTTCTTTTGACAGATCAATTTCTTTTGTCTACAGCGTGTTTAACTAATGCTGCTTTGCAAATCAATAATACTCATAAGCATCATTGTCTCTGGCAACATTCTCAAGTTACAGATTTAATACTATTATCTTGAACATTAATCATTTATTCCATAAGTTTTATCTTCATCATTTCTAACTTGTCTAGGAGTATTTCTTTTACTCTATATTTAGTTTTTCTCTTTGGTTATTTTGTAATATTCTAGCTCTGTGATTTTTTTTTTAACTGTACTTTGTGTTTCTGTTAACTTTTGTCTGAATTTTGGGTCTTCACAAGAGTGAGGATTTTTATGGTGTCACACAGTGTAAGGTTCACACTACAATACCTAGTCCTGCAAATTACTTATCAATGAAAGCAACATCGACAAACTCAACGTGGCTCCATTTCGTATGCTTACTTTTCAGTACTGTTTTAGTTATTCATGAAGAGGGGTAGAATTTATTTATTCCTATGCTTTGTCAAAAGAGAGAAAAAACTGTTTCCCGCCAAGAATGGAATCTGAGTTATCACTCCTCTCACATATATATAATTACTGCGCCTTTTTTTACTGCCTGGCAAAGAAAAGAAGGCACAGAGAAAGATGAAGGGCACATCAAAAGTGATCATGGGTGCTACATTGGTCATGGTGATCACCCTCGCCGTCGTTCTCGGTCTCATCCTCGTTCTCCTAGCTGAGCTCTACTGTTCTCTCTTACTCCGCCGCCGCCGCCGCCGCCGCCTCAGAAACGCTGCAAGCAGAGCCAATGCATCATCACCATCTTCACCATCCCTGTACCCTCAACACCAATCTCCTCTTCCTCTACACTTCGGTGGCATTTATGCACATGGTGTTCTCCAAGCTCCCAGAACTCTTCTTTTTCCTTCACTTGCTCACAACGACGACGCCGCTGGACCCAAGTTGCAGCATTCCGAGCTTCTTCAAATCGAAACCCAAGAATCAGTCTCACACCCACATCATCAAATTGGACTTCTGTCTGCTTTCCCCCCACCTGCACTGTCCTTGACTAACAAGGCTACCCCAAAGCTGACTCAAGAAATCACTGAGCAGGGTAGCATCAGCGGAGCTGGTCCTGTTTTTTCTGACAATACTAACAGTGGTGGGGAACACCTTGTGTATATTTCGAATCCCATATATGAAAACGACGAAGCCAAGTGTAGTAGCGGGGCAGATACTTCGTTCGAAACGCCGGACACTTCACCTTCGCGTTTGGAAAGAAGTGGATCCTCCGGCGATGATGATGATGATGAGGTGGAAGCTGTGGCATCTGGTTCACCCGCTCTGTCTCCGATGAAGAAGCTCCCTGCAGAGGCTTGTTCTGTTTCTCTCAGCAATGGCAGGCCATTGGCCACTTCAGGCAGTGACTCCCATAGCATCAACGGTCCCTCATCATCATCCTCTGCTTCCCCCTGCACTTCTCCTTCATGGTGACTCATCAATGGTGCATTAAGTCTCTTGTTTTCAGTTTTGTTTCTTTTTCTTTATTTCTTCCTTTCTTTTTAACTATCTGGAATCAGCCATCTTGGTAGTCCTGTGAATATGGGAATTCTGGTTATTATTGGTAAGACCAAAAGTAAGAGAAGCATAGGGCACAGCTGAGGGAGAAAGCTGGGAAGTACCTATTTTTGCAGGCAGGCCATGGCCTCGGCACGTCTCTCTAATTCACGCCTGTACCTACTCAATCTTCACCTCGCTTTCCGTTCTTTACTCGAGTAGTTACCTTAGGGAAATGCATCTTAGTTTAGTTTTCATATAGCTTGTACTTGGTTTTTTGTGAACTTGTTGCCTTCCCTGTAGTTCTAGTTATGACGATTTATTTTTCTTCTTGTTTCTCTGTTTTCGGGATAAGGTCCATAAACATCTTAAACTTGGGCGAGTGCACCTGAATTGTCCAAGGTGGGCTCAAAAGAAGAATCTTAACTTTGTTTTCGTTGTTAAAAAATCTTGATTCTGCAAATAGCTAAAATAAAGAATACTTTAATTTTCCGTGTAGTTGCATGAGCTGGCTGATGCTACTTACTACTTAGCTTCAATTAAAATACTGTATCTGGTTTTGGAGGGTTGTGGAGTAATGGTTCCAATGCATTGAAGCCCATAAACTACTAAAAAAGAAAGTGTCAGCTGCAAGGCCCTTCGTCCATTTCGAGGATGACAACAGTTGTTTTACCGTAACTCGGTTAGGCACCGGGCTTTAGCTTTCCAGACTTTCACTGCATTGACTCTGCACGTCATGTTCAGTATAGTAATTAATTATAATATACACAACAAAAGAAGTCCCATTTTCATAAAATTGTAATCGACAGTCTACCAAGGCCCTTCATCGTATTTCACTTTCCTCTGTCTTTTCAGTACTCCATTTGATCAAAGGGTGATAGCCAACTTAACTAACAGCTTCGGAGAGTCTGAGATACTGCTGTAATTATTGTGTGTGTGTCAAAAAGATAAGGCTAATAATATCCATATGAGTAGAGCTCATAGCGTATATATATTGAGAAATACAAGTGAGCTAGTGAATAAGTTAGTAAGATGAGCAGGTTCATGAGTCAAAGAAGTATTGGGTTTTTTTTCTTTATCAGATTTGTTTTGCAAAAGTTATTAAATTAATTTTGTAATTTTGCGAAAATTATTAAATTAATGTGCTTTAACCATACATAATTTCCAATTAAAGCTTGAAACTGATTTTTTTTTAATTATCTTCCAATGGCAAAGTTGCAAACATTCAAAACTGATGGAATGAATTAAAATAACATCCTATTACGTTTATGAAACTCATAATTAAATTGTGCTCAAGGCTTCATCATGTCCATGTCTATATATAGTCTGAGAAGTGTAGTGAATGTGGTGCCTGAATCTTGAGATATTGAGTCCTTCTCTTCTCCTATGTGTTGCTTAAGTATATTCTTTTCGTCTTTATTGCTTTGTGGCCCTGTTAATTTTGGCAAGAAGAGTTAGTTTAATTCAAGGAAGTTGCAATACAATTAACTTGGTCTAACGAAATAATTTTTAAAGATAATGTCCTTGGGCACAATTTAAATTATGATTTTACTTGCTGATACTAACAGATACTACAAGCAAATTATTCAGTTAAATATTATCATTCGATTATATTGAATTTGGAACTCGGAATGCTCATTCATGGCTGCATTACCCCCTATTGGTTGTGTGTCTTGAGGAGATATTTGCGTGACACCTCTAACTTGCAACATGGGAAAAAGTAACGTCTTTGATGTTTCTCTTCTGATTTTTGTTTTATTTATGAAACCATTTCAGATATCCCTATGTCACACAAACATGTACTCATTTCCCAGGAGTTAATGGATCTTTAAGAAGCGCCTATTTGCCTTAATTCTGATTGTATATATTTTAGTGATGGCTTAAATTGCGAATTGAAGACATATATAGTCCACAGATAGAGTGCTCTTCCCAAATTGACTGGGACAGCAAATCCTCATCTCACTGGAAAACTCTGTATGTCTTTAAAGTTTAAACAGGTAAGCCTACTTGAAAAGTAAAGCAATTATTGCATGGAATCTTTATTTCTTTTTCTCTGAACAAGTAGAGAGAAGTACCACCCAAAAACACACCATAAGATAACGAGATTTGAAACACAGATCAAAACATATTGCGAGTGAAGATATCATAAAAAGCAACAAGACAGTGTCCTGCTTTCTTGAGTACTGCTGTGCAGCTCGATTCCAGCTTGACGTGAAGGGTTTGCTTTCGCCAATGTCTTAGCTGCCAAGAAAAAAAGGGAGTGTTTTTTTTTTTTTTCAAGCTATAAACAGAAGCAGATCTAATGGGTCACTGGATTGAATAGTCTTATTGGTGTTAATAACTAGAATTCACAAGAGATTGCATTTAGCTAGCTGTAAGGGAAGGGAATGGCAAAAACATGCACCTATGTCATAGAAGAGCTCGTTAACATTTTCTGCAGTTTTTGCTGAAGTTTCAGTGAAAGACAAGCCATTTTCTCTGGCATATTGCTCTGCTTCCTGCATCAGTTGATTCAGTTTTGATCACTTTAAACATGAGACAAACAAGAACTTGATGACGTTAGAACCATGCATTAGAACTACCTCGTTTCCCACCGCTCTCTTGTCTGCCAAGTCAACCTTGTTAGCTACCAAAAACATAACCATACCTGGTTTTCCTGATGAATAAAGCAAACTATACATCAAATTGGATTGCATTAATTTTATCTTGACACATTCTTTGTCATAATAATCTTGAAGAACAAACTTTCTGCCTCTGGATGTAAGGTCGGGGTACAGAGAATTCTAACTCTACACAAACTTTAAGCATTTGAAATGCAATTCATACTTGTGAACATTAAGATTTGATTCTGAGCATAATCACAAAATTCCCCAAGTCATAATTCTTATTTATCCAGTGGAGTGAACTAATAGAGAATCTATATCAGACATCTCTTACCTTGTTTTTGCACTTCTTGAACCCACTTCTTGGCTCGTACAAAGGAATCCTAAGTCAAAACACAAACAACTTGGTTACTAGGGCATGGAAAACCACTGCATCCAGTTCAGAACTTATACAATGAGTCATAGCATAAGCAAATATCAGACAATGCAGGAACGAAACAATGATGAGGAAGCCCCGTGAATATATAGTTACCTTGTTCGTGATGTCATAGACCACAATAGCAGCAGCAGCACCACGATAATACATAGGAGCCAAACTATGGTATCGTTCCTGCCCTGCTGTATCCCATATATCTAATCTTATCGTCCCTTCATTTAGTGACAATACTTGTGTGAAGAATGCTGCTCCTATTGTTGATTCCTGCACCAATCACTTTTAATTGAAGGCAAAATCCACTATGGAGGCAGAAAGTCAGAAAATGAAAAATCTTAATAACGCCAACCTGGTACTCATTAAAGTGGCCTTTCACAAATCTTAGCACCAAACTTGTCTTGCCCGTTCCCATGTCCCCGAGAATTACCTACGAGATCATAGGTGAAGATCGAACACTAAACATCTGTTTATGCCAGATAATCAAATCGAAGGGGAAGACATGTATTCCAACCGGTAATTAACGGAACAAGTTAAGTACATTCGTTTGTCTTGTATTAGCCTCTTCTCGGTAACAACATCTCATGAATCGTTTATTATCAAATGAAAAACAATAGAAAAGGGGAAGACATACCCACCAGTTTGGCTTGGGGACTCTTGTTTCCTGTCCTCGACATGGCTAATCGAAGGGATTAAGAAAATCAAGTGTTGGGTGTTCTTGAGACTGTTTTTGGCATGTTGAAAAGGGAAGCAAGAGAAGGCAATGAATCTGCCGATCCAGAAAAAGAAACAAGGGCTTTTATGAACGGTACTATGCTCGATTTTTGAGGCTGAGACTAATGATATTGTGAGACCAGAGAAGAATGGTAGTTTATTTAGTTGGACTGGTAGGTACGCTTTTGTAGCTGTCTAATGTTTATTTATACTCGCCTTTTAAAAGGAAAACTAGATCAAAGACATGTTCTCTAAGTTCAAAATATGGGATCTCTAAATTTAAACATGAGAATTCGATTTGCAGAAAGAGCCATGATAACACGTCACGTTCAAATGGAATGGCTGTTCTTATCTACTCGTTATGTGGTTTTTGCTGAGACTGTGATCTTCGCTTTGGTTTCAGAAGTAGTCTAGCCGCTTGGCTAACAATATTGTTGCATTGCAACGTGGGAATATCCAAAGAGCCCCGATTAGTCGATGCAGCTCGTGGACTCTGAAGCTTGTAAATGCAACTGAAGCGAACTTTGATATCCAAGGTTTAATGAAGATTTGTCCAAATTTGCACGAATCCATTATAAAATGGAGTTGCATACGATTAAAAGATAAAAAAAAGTTTTACAACTAAAGATCAAATCACAAATCATAAATATATAAATTTTAAAAATATCTAACCAAATAATTTAAATTATTTTGGTATAGTATACTATCTTTAAACATACTTAATATAAAAAATTTAATATGATATCAGAGCCATTTAATTGAGGAAAAAAAAGAGAAAAAAATGAAAGAATGAAAGAATGAAAGAATGAAAAATTAAAAAAAAAAACAAGAGAAGCTTTAAAAAAAGAAAGAGATAAAGAGAAGAAAAAGAAAAAAATTGAACATATCTCAGTCCTTTGAGATTAAAAAAAAGCACAAGCTCAGGTTAAAAAAAGAAAAAAAAATAATAGAGAGAATATTAAAACATAAAACAAAGTCTCACATTTAAAAAATTAAAAAATAAATCATAAATATATAAATTTAAAAAATATTTAATTAAATGGCTCAAAATATCTTAATAGAATATATTATTAATAAATATATTTAATATAAAAAATTTAATAGGATCCTCAAGGAGCACTTTTTACTGCTTCACAAGGCTAATAATATTCTGACAGGTGCTTTTGCTTATATTTTTGTACTGAGCTGACAGTTGCTTTGGGTTTCGGAATCTCTTTGCATTAATCTCACAATTTCATCTTAATCTTGTTAATCCAAGTGCAGTTCTCATCATTGTGTAATTTTAATTTTAAGCTTGCTCGTCCGGCTGAACTATTGATAGGATCATTTTGGACTGGTTGGCATTGAGTTCAAGAGTGGTGTTGAAAGAAAAGGCACCGCTTATCAGTTATCAGTAAGCTTTAGTTTGGAGGTTGCAATTGTACAAAAAAATATAATGGATTATCTCAATTTGTCATATTTCTTTTACCAAAGAGTATTTCTCTAATTTTTATTTTTACGTATAATGGAACAGAGATGGGGAGTGTCACGCTGCGGAGCTAAGAGGAAACATTTTTGCCGTGAAATCACAACTCACAAGCCTCTTCCATCTTTATTGTTGTTGTTCTTTGTTAGTGGTCTGTTTATTTGATGTCTGCTTTAATTCAATTTAAGCTAAAAAATTTAAAAATCAACAACACAACCCTTTTTTATATAAATGTATGACTGTATCAGATTCGAGCAATGTTGGATGTAATTAAAAATTATCCTTTCATAGATTTTTTTTTTATACTTACGTAAATTTAAACTCAAGATCTCATGTTTATTTGAGTGAGTATAACTTTTTATAATACACTATGACTAAAGGTTATTGGTTAACACAACCTTTTCTTGTTTAACTGAGGGATCAATCCTGTAGTGTTGTATACTAGATAATTATATTCCAGTTCACTGCATGATAATTTTATGTGTTTTTGTTAGTTGATATTTGTAATTACTTTTTCTTTTATAATTTATTATATCGTTTTAATGTCAAAAAAAAAAATCAGAGAGAGAGAGAGAGAGAGAGTAAATAAAAAAATAGGGCACACCTTTTCTAACCAATACTTCTCTACTGATTTTATCATTCGGAATCACTTGCATCCAAATTTGGTTAAATTGCACAACTAAAATGCTTACACCCGCGCGATGACATGTATGCATATAATCGGGAGAATTTCATAATAGGACGTGGTAAGTATACATTTTTCACCAACAAATTTAATATTCATAATAAATCCTTGAAGATTTAATTTAAAGGTCCCGAGTTCGACACCAAAAAAAAGTACACATTTTTCAACCACACTCAAATATTTTTAAAATAGCACTGGTTTTGAAGATTTGCATGAAATTAAGTTTCATGGTGAAATGACATTATTATCCCTAGTGTTTAAACAAAAGTAAATAACATTTAAGGGAAGTCATATTTACAAATAACATTATGGATTTGACAAACAACATTGAAAAATTTACAAGTAATATTACATTTTATAAGGGGCATTAGTTGCACAAATAATATTTTAGAGTAACAAGTCAAATTATGATTTGTGCAAATAACATTAGTAAAATAGTGAGGTAAGTTATAATTTTTACAAGTAACATTGTTATAATAATAAGTCAAGTTATAGTTTTTATAAGTAATATTATTAAAATAACAAGTCAAGTTATGATTTTTAAAAGTAATATTACTAGAATAATATGAAATTATGTTTATTCTATTAATGGTACTTATAAAACCTGTAACAGGACTTGTTATCATGTTGATATTACTTGTAAAAATAGTAAGTTAACTTATTATCTCAGTAATGCTAATTATAATTGAAGGGCATTTTAGTCATTCAATCAAAAGAATTTGTTTTATTTCAGTGCTCCAGACTTGCAGTTAAATTAATTTCAAAAAAAAAAAAAAATTGGGCCTATATCATATTCAAGGACTTTTAATGAAATTCTCCCCGTATAGTTTCGTCTTATTTATTATTTCAAATATTTTTTAAAAAATAGAAAAAATCACAACTTAGGACCACTGAACAACATCTATTGCTATGCTAGACCAAATAATTTAATTTTGCTCTGTACAAGAAATTTAAATATAATTAAAATTGAGATAATCACATCTAAGCATATTTTAAGAGAATCATTCACAAACAAAGAGTAATAACAAGTCACTGTTAGGAAAAAAATAAGTTTCTATTATCATTTTAATAATAAATAATTCCATATTAATATTCATCTGATAATAATTCTCTTAGAAAGTCCTTGGATGTGATTCTTTCAATAATTTTTGTGAAAAGATAAAACCACCTCTCACATATATAGACACACACACACATACATACATATTTAATGTGATGTGGGAAATTGATTGTTGTTACAGTATAAATGAGATTTTTGTTCCTCAAATATAGACTTGTTTATCATATCATGACAGCTTCCCTTTATTACGAAGTTAATATTTTTGAGTTATTAATAATAGAATTAAATGCTATTAAAATAAAAATGAAACTTTTTTTTTAATGGGGACTTATTCATTAAATTACAACAATTTTTATCTATCATCAATTTAACTTTTTGAAATTGTCAATAAGGTAATTGATTGTTGTTAAAATAGAAATAATATTTATTTTTCCTCCAAACAAGAACTTATTGTTAAGAGAGTATATATGCATGACGAGTAGTCTCACCTTTTCATAATAAATTTTAATTACATTTGAATTCGTTGATCCTGCAGAACATCATCAAAATTATTTAATCCTGTAGAATAGTAAATGTTGTTCAGTGGTTTTTTATTGTAATTTTTCATGAAAAAATATTAGATTGAAGGACTATCAAAATAATTTTACATAAATACCAACCAATTATTTTCATGGAGCTTAATAATGTAACAAAATGACAACAAAAGCCTTCACAAATAAATTAATGACAAATCGGTATCTCACCATCATGACATAGGTTCCTAAATTACGGAGTTGGATTCTCTCTGCTGTCCCTCCCATGAGAGACAGCAGATTTGGATAGTCTACATGTAAAATATTTATTTTTATTTATTAAAAATATAAAAAAATTTAACAAACATGTTTTATTACTAATTTTGGCCTTTCAAATTTAATATAGGTGGTTAAAATTAAATTTGGACTATCCATATTGTTAATCAAATTAAATAAAAAATTATAAAATTTTTTTATTTTAATACATAAAAAAAAATTAAAATTAAAATTAAAATTAAAAATATTTAATCTGGAGGAATCAAATTTAACAGAGGGCGGGACAAGGGAAAGGTAGGGGAAGGGAAACCGTCTCGCTAAATTAGTGCCCTTCCTTTTTTAGCATTTTTTTATTTGGATCAGCCATCCGTTTATAGCATTGAAAATTTAGAGAGAAAAAAATGCTAATTTGATATTAATTTTATTTAGAGATCCTGGGTTGCCATTCTCCCTATTACTACTATTTTTTTTTTTTTGGGGTAATCTCTATTATTCCCTTCATCTCAAATTATAAGACACATTTAGACAAAATCTTTCATATCAATAAAACTCATTAAATACACTCTATAACTTTACTTTTTCAAGATAAAAATATAAATTTTTAAAAATACTCTTCATTTAATACTCAATTGATAAAAGAATATTGAAGAGAGAGAATATACGGGAAGGGTAATATTAAAAAAGCAACATTGATGAAACCTTATTTTATTAAAGTGTCTTATATTTTGAGATGCTAAATCTTTTCTAAAAATGTCTTATAATTTGAGACGGAAGGAATACTACCTACTAGTTCACTGAACATAAGTATATCATATTTCAAAACATGAACAATCAAAATAATAATAAATGCTTTTTTAATTCCATTTATAAGTTATTTCCCAATATGTTTTATTAGAAAAAAAAATTTAAACTTATTAATTCTTTCTAAAAAAATTAATATGTTATTAACTTTGCCTCTATTAAGTTTAGATACTTTAATAATATATTTTTTCTCTCTAACAATTAGTGAAGGGTAAAAGAAAAATTTGGTGATAAAAATTTAATAATATGATTTATAAATAGAACCAAAGCAAATTTTTTTCTCTTTTTTTCATAAATAGGATCAAATAAAAT